CATTCAACCACAATTAAATTCACTCTATCTAGGAGGTACAGTTTATATGGATAGTTTTTATTTTTTCATAAAAACAAGCAAAAATGAAACGACTTTCTACTTCTTGCCTTTTTTTAAAAAAATGTAAGGAGTAGAAAGTACAAATAATTGTATGAAAATGTAAAAAGTAGGCTGAAAAATATTTACTCAAGTAAAGTACAGATACCCAGAAATTCTACTTAAGTACAGTAACAAAGTATTTGTACTTAGTTACTTTACAACTCTGACATTATGGTAAAAAAATGTGATTATTTTTATGCTTTTAGATTCTAACARTGTTTTCTTTTTGTTCTTGACGAGGATGAATCAAGGTCACACAGCCAGAAAGATGGACACAAATGGATCTTCACCGTGGACCAAGATGCCAAAATGGAGACCATCACTACATCCAAAGCAACTTACGGCCCCATAAATAACCCAGGAGTCAGACTGAAAGGTMTGTGTTTGTTTTTTAACAGATACAGTCAAAAGTGATTAAATTAGATTTCAATATAATCCGTCTACAGAGTTTATTTGGGCGTATGTGCTTAACCAAAACCAGATTACAGCGTTCACATAGAGATCCTGTTGTGGACGCTGGTTATGCAGATTGAAAATCTCGTTCGGGATGATTTGCCAATCTCACACGGCTCGTTTCTTTTTTACATTTCCACGGCGCAGGCGCCAGAAGAGAGCTTTTGGAAAAACATCTTACTCAGWTGATAAGGTAAGCCAACCGTGAACAACTCTTTTGATGCTGAGGAGAAAGAAAAAGGTTTTTGGAAGTGTTTCGTTTGTGGGAACAAAGATTACTGCCTGGAATGTGTCGGAGGAAACCTCAGTAACTCGCTCTTGTCTGGGTTTGTTCTGCTCAGTTGGAGCTGTCATGCCTTTAAATCAGATTTCATAATGTTTTTTTACATGAAGGCCAGTTATCTTAATAAGATTCAGTACAAGTTAGGTACTCCGTCTGTCCAACAGGGAGGTGAGTCTAATCCTGTAATCTTMATCTGAACACATCAGAACCACACGGCAGAGAGCTCAGTGGTTCTGGGATCGTTGATTTAAACAGATGGAAGAGCAAATGACTTTTCTTTCATATGTTTTATTGTGATTAAATGACACCTCGGTGTCTTGTTACACATTGTGTACTCTGTATGTTACAATTACTGAGCAAAATGAGATGTTCGCCCACACAGATGTTCGGCCTTGACGGTCTTCTTTGCAGCACTGTGTGGGCACAGAAACAAAACTTTAACCTTAGGGCTAGACAACCTAAACATCAGCTGTTTCCTGACTGCAGAAGTTCACAGAAAACATCTTTACACAGGGTTCAAAAGCAGCCAGCAAAACTGGCCGTGTAAAGTCTTCATTTAGCCGTGTTTTTGTCGTGTTTTGCTACGGTTTGGTTGTACAGGGAAGTAGGATTTTCCCACAGATGAGTCGTAAATTAAAACTGAAACGCTCCRTCCTGGAAGAAATCCCCGTCTGGAAGACCGCAGTGAAGTTAGTTTTAGGTTGGGTATTCACACTCGGGAGAATTCAGCGTGGTCTTCTTCCAGTTTAACTTGGTGCAGGTCGCTCCGCCTACGCATGATGTGTCGCTAGCTTACACCTGTTCACGGTTTGTTGCCGTCTACTTCAGTCTCCATGAGGGTCCTCATAATGTTCTCTACAGCACTTCTCTTGTTTGTTTTCCTCTTAAAAAACTGATTTCTTTGCACATTTCTGTTAGATTTGCTGTGTAGTTGTACACATCTAAGTTTGATTTATTTTCTATATTTGTGTCAGTGTTGTGTTAGTTGCTCCATTTCTGTCATGTACTGTTTGTTAGAGATTCCCTGTCATTTAGTTGGTTAATCTGTCTGCCATCACCCAGACGTCTGGACCTCCCTCAGAGCATCTCTGACCTTCTAACTTGTTGTTTCCACAGTGAGAAAGTCCGTGCTGAACAGAACTCTCTGCCACCCAAAACAGAGCTCTCCTCCACAACATCAAAGGACTTTTGTGCCCAAGGGTTTGTTCCGTGCAGACCACAGAGCACAAAGGTATGTTTGGACTTAAAGTGTTGAACATTTTGTTTCTGCATGTATGACTTCAAACATGAGGAAACTGAGTCAAGACAGGGTTTAACAAAAGCACCTTTTCATCTAATCACACACAGGCATGCCATACCATACCGTACCATACCGTACCATAACGTACCGTACCATAACGTACCATAATTTACCATACCATAACGTACCGTACCGTACCATATCATACCGTACCATAACGTACCATACCGTACCATAATGTACCGTACCATAACGTACCGTAACGTACCATAATGTACCATACCATACCGTACCATAATGTACCATACCGTACCATAATGTACCGTACCATAACGTACCGTAACGTACTGTAACGTACCATACCATACCGTACCATAATGTACCATACCGTACCATAATATACCGTACCATAATGTACCGTACTGTAATGTACCGTACCATACCATACCGTACCATAATGTACCGTACCATAACGTACCGTAACGTACCATAATGTACCATACCATACCGTACCATACCATACCGTACCATACCATACCGTACCATAATGTACCATACCGTACCATAATGTACC